AGGAACGCGAATGGCCTTAGCTCTTTGTCGTAGCTGTCCTTTATGCTCTGCGCTGACGAAGCACTGTCGAACCACTAGACTGAAGCGGTTGCATTCTTGCAGAGTGTCCCAGATGGGATCGCCAAGAATTGCTTGGGTGTTCAAGTTGACAAATTCCAGCTCACACCCGAAAGTGCCAATCGTACCAATTGCTGACAGGCACTCAAGCGCAGCGTTCTCAAACTCGTCAAGTCGATCAAATTCCCGTAGTTCAATTGGCAGTTGAATTTCCTCGCCGGCTAGGGTAACCAGCGTGTTCTGCCCTGGCCGGTGTGCTGACCTGCGAGGAGTCTCCGGTAGCCATCATGAAGCGTCGCCAATGACTATGGACATGTCTGTGCAGCTTGAGCCAAGGCACCTCGCATTTTTCTCATGATGAACGATCTGCCAAGAGGTCTTTTATCTTGATAAATGGCTTGCTTACGTATAAGCTTACGCTGAGGCACAGCGAGAGGTAGCGAAAGGTAGTGGCAGCTGTGAAGCTAGAGGAAGCAATCATCAGGGACAGTGACTGAGGTGACCGCCCTAGGTTGGCCTGCATTGTTTTATACAGGTCAAGTTCGAACGCTTGGCTGTACTGTCCAGCCATCGCCCCAGAGATGCAGGAGGTCGACTTTCAGAGGTCGCTGCAAGGATCAAGGCCATGCCGAAGAAACCATCCACACCCGTGAACGGCGTTTGGAAAGGCACCGCCGGTGCGACCTCTACAAGCGAAGGGAATGCCACCTCCATCAGGTCCACCGGGACGGCGAGAAGTTGCTGTGGGAGGAGCTGAGCTCGAGGGTTTTTCAACCTCTCAAACCCAACGAGGGAGAAGGATAGTGGCGCCAACTGTGGCATGGATGATGATCTTTCAGCCCAGATCAAGCCGGGCGACAGTGTGTCGCAGGTCTTCGTTGCTGTACCTTGTGGAGGATCCGATCACAAGGGATTTCGACCAGCTGAAGGCGAAGCAGAATCGCCAGAGCAGAAGATTCAGCGCCGGCTGAAGAGGATGAACCAGGGCATGGATACCAGCAAGAGGATGGAGCTGATGAAGAAGACTTAAAGGTCGAATTGTTGAGGAAGCGCAAAGCTGAGAGTATGCCGAGTGGGTCAAAGAGACAGGCAGCTCCGAAGCGCCCAAGTGTTGGATTCCCACCGCTCAAGATTCAGGAAAGTCCTTTGAAGAAGAAGCGGAGTGAGACTCCGAAGAAGCCTGAAGTGCCAAAGAAGCATGAGGTACCAGGGCCAAAAACGCCGAAGAGTCCATCGTGGTCGATGATCTCAGGACCAAAGACACCGCCCAAGGCGATCCCACATCCAAAAACACCTTGTCAGGAGTGTCACCTTGTTCGATACATTGGAATCCATGCTTGATTGGAAGAGTCTCAAGTTCGTTTTGAGGTGCTCCGAACAATCTGTGAAGCACTAGCCCAGAGCTCGTCAGGATCCAAGTTGAATCGAAAGGTCTGCATCTTAACTCACATCTCGTTACCTTGCAAAGGAGGTTCACCGTTGTTGAACTTTACTGGAAGGAACGCAAGTCACGAGAAAGACTTTTTCCATCTGTTGAAATCGACTGAAAAGTATCTTGATGAGATCAAGAGTATTGAAGCAACTAGCAACACAATCTCATTCGAGTTGCCGAAATTCAGCCAGTACTGGAAGAGCAGAGGGCTCGAGAGTTTCTTGCAGAAGTACGGAATGACACATCAGAGTGAGTGTCACGCCTGTGCCATGGGTCTTGAAGCCCAGAGTGGGCTAAAGGTAGGGAAAGTGTTCGGTATTCAAATTTCAGACCAAATTTTGTCGAGGAGATTGTGCAATCGCTTTGTTTGCAAATGTGTTGATGAACATGCACCATTCAATAATGTTGATTACCATGCAACTGAAAGGTACAGTTTGAAATTCGCCAGATTTCTTGTTCGCACCTGGTCGAGTGTGACCAATCTATGTCAAGGTGATCCTTGCGGCCGTTGGCGAGGCCTGTTGGTCCTGGTCAGGAGCTGATCTTCGCAGATGTCGAGACGAGAGCGAAAAATGTGAATGCGTTGAGAATGCGTTTGCGTGAGCTGAGAGCTAGAATTCGTAAACCTTGAAGCTTTTGTTCTTTTGTTGAGTCTCAGGAGTCGTTGAAATTAGAAGGAGTCAGGACAAGGAGAATGATCTTTTCTCGGTCTGAGTGACCACCTTACTCCAGCAGATTGAAAGAGACATCTGAACAGTGAGACTGTTTTCATCAGAGTTCACAGGAGAGAGAACGAGTCAAGATGATCGGTTCTTTTCTTCTTTCTTTCGATTACCTTTCGGAGAATCGTCGCCGAACTTTTCCGCAGCCGTTTGTGTGTGTGTGTGGGCGCGCGCGATAGCCATGTTTTCGTTACTTGGCAGCTGTGTTGCTGCGCTGGCGCTTTATGGGCTGATGGCCCGGATGGCGCTGCTGCACGCAGCGTGGAAGCTGGAAACCAAAACCAAAGATGAAGGAAGCGCCTATGAACCTTGCAAGTGGGACAACGTCTTCTTCCCCTTAGTGGCAGCTAGTTTGGAAGCGGCCGAGTCGATGGCAGCTAGTTCAGTGGCAACTGGTCATGCGACCGCGTGCGTGGTTGGCAGCTGGAATAGAGCGACTGGAAGTGTACGTGACTCCAACTGGAACGAGGTTCCATACCCAGCGGAACTGCCAGTACCTTCGTCGAAAGAGCAAAGTGACTTCGTACCAAGATTGCTTGTGCTGTAAGGCTCAAAGAGGCCTGGATGGCATGTAGACTTCGAAAGGGGGTGTGGAAAGTAGCTTGCTTGAATAGCGAAGCCCCCATACCATGTTTTTTGAAGATGTGCGTGAACTTAGTGTAGTCAGTTCGAACCAGTTCGATCTTCGCTTGAGGCCTGAGAGGCCGATGTGTTTGTAGACACTTTAACATGCTTACAGACAGAACAGTCGAGGACTATGGGAAACATATCCCATGGATTTTGTACAAGGTTGTTACGACGATAACATATTTGGCTCAAGTGTGCGGCAGAAAAGGCGCGTTGCGAGTGTCTTTTCTCTTGTTTTTTCTTTTCGGCTCGGTCGTTGTGCAGACACTTGACTTACAAGACAGTTTTTCACGCTGAGAGCTTGCGAGGAAGGTTTTCTTTTTCGTGAGTTTGCGTGGCAAACTTTCACGCAAACTCACGAAAAAGAAAACCCCTCAGCGTGAGCAAATTATCTTGAAAGCCAATCGTATGCGCGACGACCGAACCGAAAAGAAAAGACACGAGAAAAAACCGCACACTTGAGCCAAATTTGTTACCGTCAAAGCATACAAGTACAAAACCTTTGGGACATGTTTCCCATGGTCCTCAACTGTTCTGTGAACACTGAAAAACATCTCTTGACTGTTGAAAAGAGACGAGAAGGCTGTCCCACTCGGTTCTCTGGAAACACATTGGCCTCTGGAGGCTTTGCTGTCCAGCTACTTTCCACAGAAGCCGAAGATGTTTGAAGATCTTTTGTGCACGTGGAGAGCACGAGAACAGTGGAAAGTGTTTGAAAGATAGCTGAATGTTCGTTTCGAGGCATTTGAAGGTGCTTGAAGACCACCAGGTGCGTGTGATGTGCACATGAGTGTATATGTGAAGAGTTGTCTCCTTTTGGTTTCCGGAGGCCATCTTGGAGGAGCACCTTCAAGGTGTCCCAACGGGGAAAACACAAACAGTTTCCTGGTTGCTTTGAAGCCGGTTGGTTGGAACACCAGGGTTTTTGTTAAAAAGTTTGTTTGGAGCGAAAAGGTTCCTCGCCTGCGTCTGTTGTTTTTAAGGTGAAGAGAAGGAAGGAAAGGTGGAAAGGGAAGGGAAAGGGGAAGGGGAAGGAGGCAGAAGGGAAGGCAAAACAGAAGGCAGAAGAGAAACTAGGGGGTTTACCTAGCTGCCGGAACAAGATTTGAGCAGCCACGGAAAATGACGGCGGGTGTATTTATGTTGCGTTTTTGTGCAAAAAAAAAGTCTATTCCATTTGAAGACCTGTTGGTGAGCACGTTTATCGACCTCGTTATCTTGACCTATTTCTTCTATTTGTCCCGGAACCCTGCTACGAGAGAAATATGCAGCCTTCTATTTGCAAATATGTTTTTATATCTTCTATAATCGTTTCCCGTAGTTGAGTTGCGACCTTGGATGAAGCAGGTATTGAATCTGGGAGAAGATGTTGATTGGGAGCTCCAGAAAGTTTTGCCAGGTCAAGGAAATCAAAGCGTTGGTTGGAATCGTTTTCTCGAGTATATGTGAGCTAGACTTTGAAGCTTTCGCCGGAGCACCTTCGATTTTCAAACATCGTCAGAAGCTCATGGTGATCAATGTTCACGTGGATGACCTTCTCGTGCGTGTTCGTCACGAAGAAGACGGTCAATGGTTGTTGGTTGAGCCATCCTGCCAATGATCATCACTGTTCGTCAGGCACGGCAAACCAAAACGGCGATCAGACAGGCAGACAAATGGGACCCAATGTTTTTTAAGCTATGGGAAGGAGGCGGCGGCTTCCCGGCTCACCGTTCTTGGCGGTGATTGCCCTAGCAAGGTCGGCGTACAGGCGGGGACTTAGTTCGGGTGAAGAAATGAAAGTTTGAAATTTGCCGCGACGGACAAACCAGAATTGAGTATAAGGCTAAGGGTGCATGGCGGAGGCGCTGATGAAGATTAGCTACGTTCCATGGTAAAAAAAGTGAGTTGCCATAGATTGTATGGAGGGCGCGAGGGGAGACATGTAAGGAGACAGGTGGGGAGACAAGGCAGCAACGGCACAGCAGCGGTACAGCAGCCGCACACAGCAGGGGCAAACCAAAATGGAAAACAGACACCCAGTCATTTGAGAAGTAAGAGCCCCTATAGCTATCGCTATTGGGGCAATGATCCTTCACAGTTTTTGAGTGTTTTCGCCTCCAAGCGGGTTGCACGGTTGCCATGCATTTTCACCATGCTCGCCGTTCGCTTCTTTTGGCTATCAAGATTACACTAAGCAAGGCTTGATCCGCGAAGCAAAAGACCACAGCTCACTGCTGTGTGCGTGTGGGGAGTCAATCTTTTTCCCGTCTTCATGGGTAAGTTTGCCGTTAGTTCGCATGTGTCCTTGGCCATGCGGCTGAGCAGGTACGCTTCCTTTTTGTTTTTCATTGTCTCACAGCCAGCGAGCATTTGTCTTGTCAGTGCTTGGGACAAGTTCCAACTGTGGATCGGTGAATAGGCCTGTTTCAGCACGATGATGTTCAATACAATTGTTAACTTAACCGCCCAAACTAATTGAGCTGGTGCGCATGGGACAGACAGGTTTGGACGTCATTGATTTGTTTCCAGCTATTCATGCAGGCACTAATGAGCCTCTCCGTGCAGCTTGGCAGCAAACCAGATGTGCATAGTTGAATCTTACCAGGACCCGTGATTCGGAGGGACACTTTAATTGACTTTTTGCTTAGCAGATGTGAGTGTCGCAGACAAGTTGGCATGGGGTGGCCACAGGTCAAGTGCATGTGCACAGGGGTATTTCATCAAATGAACAGGTGCGACCTCCAAATGCAAAGTTTCACCAGTGCTTGTTGTCAGAACGCCTCTGGGACTAGGAGTCTTAGCTTCGAGCAGAAGGCTGATCGGGTCTGGATTGCTTTTGTTTTTTTTTTTTTTATGTCATGCACCTAAACGCTGCTTTGTTTTTTGGAGTTCTTTGGTCCATTGATCGATTCTTTTTTGCAAGTCCTTTTGATATGCACCAGCACGATGCAAAGCAACGACCACTCATGTTTAATTTCATGGATCAATGTGTGTGTGTGTGTTGCTTTGTCAGGTTGCATACGCTGAGAGATGTTTGGGCATCAATGTTCAGAATGACAGCCGAGAACTTTTTGACTTCGTCCAGCAGCTTGTCTTCAATCTCGAGCCAGCCTTGTTGATACAATCTTACGCATTTAGATTGATTTGGTGGATTCACATGGCCTTGTCCTTTCAACTGGCATATTGTGACAGCTAGGAATGCAGCAACAAAAAGACGAAATTGACGGGCAGTTTCATAAAGTTGTTTGTCATGTTTTTTTGTTCATTGGGTGCATTCCTAAGAGTTTGGTGATGCTGGTGTTGCCAACAGGGCAGCTTTGCATTTCCAGCATACTGAAAAGATCTTTCTCTTACGCACTTTGCACCAGCTGACATTGCCCTGGCAGAAGTGCCGTCCTTTCTCAGGTTGTTTTGTTCAGGACTTCCAGAGTTGGCTCTGACTTGGGTTGCGAAGAGTATATACGTTCCTCTATTTTCTTTCGTAAATCCCAAGGATGGGCCTTTAAACACAGCGCAGGGAACTGCATTCATTAGGTTCTGCTTGAGTACTAGCTATGTGTTTGTCACCATCACTTGGGTCGCGGATTTAGTCTAAATTCCAGCTGTCCCACTTACTTCCACATGTCTGATGGCTAAGGTCCATGCTGGAAAAGCCGCTCCCTGTGCCATGGAGACAGCACCTCGACTCTATTGCGGGCATGGAGATGAGCAAAGTTTGTCAGAACATCTTCAAAACTGTTTGCGTGTTGCCCCAGCTTGGCTAGCTGGTTGCATGAAGTTGGAGCAACTTCAACTTACTTTGGAGCGTTGGATGGGAGTCTGTAGGTCCATGATATGTGATAAAATCGGTATAGCCGCATATGCTCAGGAGTAGAAAGGGTGGTGGCTGTGGGAGTAAGGCCACTCAAGTCTATCCGAAAGGACCATAAAACAATGCAGGAAGCAAAGTTCAACATAGTGGGGCAAGTGTCTTGTGCCTGACCACAAATAGTTCAATTCCGTTGCGAGAAGCTCCATTCGCAAATAATGTTTGGAATTGCAGTGTCTCTATTTTCAGTGACTCAAATAGTTCAACCTATGCATTTGACCAAGGTGCTTCGACGAGCACTGGAGACTTTTCTACTACAATGAGCGGACAAAGATCTCAGTGCCCGGAATCCCAGTGGTGTTACTAGGTTGGAGCCTGTATGATAGAATGCTAGGCTTTAGTGGAAGAATGGCCATTGACCTTTTGCATTCATCAAGATGGAGCAGAAATGGATAGCGGATGCACCCCGCGTGGATACATCCCAATGCAAACTTGTTTCCTTTCGTCTATTGGGCACTTTGTTGTTAAACTGCAAGGATGAAACACAGGCGGAACTCTTTGGGGCTCCCCAAAAGCAGACCGACGCTTCTCTCATCGGACTTACTCCGCGCCTGGAGTTTCCGGATGTGCGATTCGCCTCCTTTTCGTTTTTTCTCTCAGAGAGACGCGACGTGAAAAGTAGCGAGATAGATCCTCCTTTTTTGAACAAGAAGAAAGCACTCAATGTTCTTTTTCCATGTTTATTCTTTTCTCCATCGCCCAAGGTGGAGTCATCCACTTGAATCTGCTCACGTTCACCTGGTAGAAGCCTATCGGCGGATTGAGGCCGAGCCGTCAGGTTGGTGAGGTGACCAGTGACAGAACGGACGACACTGAACTTCGGTGCCCAAGAGGTCGACATGCTCTCCTCTGCAGAAAGGAACACACGAAAGTGCCTGGATGGATAGGAAACCGACACAGACTGATTCAAGTCTGATTCAATTCACTCTTCAGTTCGGTGTTTGGATTCATGAACTTCTGTGCAGCTGTGCATTTCTTTGTGGTCCGCCAGATTGAGTCGAAAAAAAGAACAAAAACACGCACATAAACTTCTTCGACTCTGCGCCACCGACCGCTGCCTGCATGCCTGCCTCCGTGCCTGCGCTCAGGCTGAAGCCTCCACGCTGCAGTCCGAGCTGCGACACTTGAGAGCGCTGGCGGAGGCGGAGAGCGTGAGGAGAGAGCGGCAGGTCGTCACTTGAGAGCGGGGAGACCGACGCCAGGCGTTACCGGCGTACCCCGACCTCTGAGAAGGGAAAGAGAGATCAAAAGCTGAGTTTCTGGAGGTGAAGCCACCTGTCCAGGCTGAATCGGCCAAGTGGAGCGAAGCGGAGGCTGATGGAAGGATTGGGAGAGTCGCTGACCGAATCGTCGAGCACCGTGCGAAATCGACGAATCGACTCTGAATCGTCGAGCTGTATGGGTCGAATCTGTAGTCGTCACTGTTCGATTGAATGGTCAGGGAGGTTTCGATCGGCCAGCTGCGATCCTTTTTATCAAGCACTCTATACATTTACAGAAGAAATGCATGCAGAGCCGCCGTTGGAGCCGACGTGTTCTCCAGTGTTTCGTACTGTCGCGGCAGGACCTTCTTCTTCCATGTCGAGGAGCCGCGCCGAGCCACCTGGGAGAATCCCCGTGAGGTCATCATGGCCAACCTCGCCTTCGAGGCGGCTCCTTCGCGAAGCGAGGAGGATCCAGTCCACAGGGCTCGGGTCCTGTGCGAACAATGCACAGTTTGGGCACGGGTTTCGGAAGCTCTTGGTGTGACTGCCGGAGAGTATGATGTTGCCACATGTTGCAAACTCAGGGATAGAAGCTTCCTGTTTTGATAGAATGACTGCCTGGCATGGGATGTTGAGCCTGTTAGATGATCGTAAACACAGACACTCCAATCTCACCTTGGAGGTTGAAATGATTGGCCAAGCCTTCCCAAAGCAGGGACCTTATTCTCATTACCTCATCGAGAGTGAACGAGTTGCCTTTCTTGAGAGTGTATTGCTGCCAACACACCATTGTCAAGTGTTGCTGAATTGTTCCTCAAGTCAAGGTGTGTCCACCTCTATACATATCTCTTCAAAGTACAAGTGGTGTACAGCACACCGTGTACAGTGGTTGCTGACCACATTGACTGCTTGACAGCTTTCCAGCACAAGTCGAGATTGTCCTGAGCGATAGAGTACCACGAGTAAGCACAAAGTGCACAGTTGCGACTTCAATTCTGATGTTCATGTACCACATGCGTCTATGTAGGGTATGTCCCATTACCAGTAGCGGTCGGTAAAAGATTATCACTCTTTTGGAGAAAGGCCTTTACTAACAATCATTGTCCACTGGGCCCTGGTAATGGGATATACCCAGCATATATGCGCTGAGCTTTTCCAGGATGGAAGTTGCAACTCACATAGAACACAGCCCAGAGATGCCAGAGGAGGTGCAGCTGAGTTGTGCGCGCTTGGTGTTGTTGAGTACAGCCGCAAAGGGGAGACATCATATTCAGCTTCACGTCATCAATGAAGTCAAGCCCAACGACAACCCTGCCAGGTTGTCGAAGAGATGCGAAGGCAGAGTCCAACAGATTGATTGAAGCAAGATGTGAATGTCATGGATCTTATGGTTGAGTGACACAGGCACACTTTTATGTGTTCCACAACATACCTAGCATTAAAAAGAATGGACTTTGAACGCAGTAGTTTTGTAAAGCAGATTCCATGACCATTATTTGTCATTCGAGTCTAGTCTGAAAAAGTCCTCCACCTGTTGAATCAAAGGGGGACAAAGCTGTTGGACTGTCTGACTTCAGGTCAAGAGAACTGTCCTATGCCTCGTCCCAAAGCGGGCGGCATAGGAGGCCCCGCTGGGCCTGGGCGGTGAAAAATGACGGCGTGCAATCCGTTCATGCCACGGGCGCGTGGCGGTGGGCAAAAGCCTTCACAAGAAACACACCGGTTTGTTTGTACCCAGTGACATCCATCAGTTTGTTTAACATTTGTACATGATTCTCAAAGATCTTTACAACACTCACCTGGCTGTATCTCGGAACCGAGTTCCTCTGCAGGCCTTCACGTGCTACTGATGAGGCTCAGTTTGGGATGTTGATGAATCAGCTTCAAGCTCTTGCCGTGTTGTCTTCAGTCTTTGCGACGGACCCCCCAAACTAGCAACCTGCAAGCATAAGGATCAGATAGACGTGATAGACCTGATTTCTGCGGTTTTTCATCGGTTACGAAGGTGGCGATGGACGGAAGAAGACCTCCCACAGACAAGACCTTCTAGATTCTAGAATGACCCTGTGACCACTGCGTTGGACACGAGCCGAAGGAAGGGCACAACGGGCACAACAGACAACAGCTGAGGCTGGTCAGCAGGACCTGTGTGCCACGACTCGACGGGTTCCGTTTTGAATGCTGAGCTTGCTGAGTTCACTCATTACGTGTTTGTGTGGTTCTTGCTACAAGCCACGTGATTTGTTGCCCGCAGGCGGCAACAGGCACGAGCAGCGTGGGCAGGGCTTTTCTGCGGCTAGAAGGACGATCACGCGGGATTCCGGGTTTCTGTGGCAAGTGCACTCCTTTTTCTGTCACTTTCATCAACTACCACCACACCCACACTTCACTCGGTTTGTGAGTGGTGGTTTGGGCGATGAAGATTTCCACAGCGGATTTATTAGTTGAAACAGTTCAGCTTCTTGAGTTTTGGAGCAAGCAATGTGTTGACAGGTGGGCTTCAACACATGTTTTTCTGGATTTGCCTTCATTGCCCAGAGGTGTATTCCAAAATAAGCATGGACAGTTTATTTTTGCCACCACAAGAGCTTCAATTCCTTTGGATGCAAAGGGCCTTTGGAGCTGAGTTGCGTGATTTCACGCGTGAAGCACGGTGTCGGAGCTCTTCCAAGATTTCGTTGGAAGCAACTAGGACAGATAGAATTTTGGGAAACAGGCGGGTTTCGAAGCACTTCTCTTTGGCAATTCCAAAAAAACAAGCACTTGACCGAAAGAGAGCTCAGGACTTCTACATGCTCCCGTGTCCTGAGCTACAGACACTTATATACATAATGTATATAAAAAGGTTACCCAAAGATCAAACATCGACACTTCCAAAGTATCCATGTGCTGAGCCCGTGCCATTTGGGTCCCCGTGCCATAACTGGGCTCAAACCAGTTCCGAGCCCGCGCTGCGCATGGCCGGGAAACCAAGAGCTTTGGTGAGGGAGAAGTGAAAAACACTTTGGTTTTGGTCAGCCAAGTAAGCTGTCATATGCTGAACAAAGCACTGTTGAGTTGTCAGTTGACACTGTGGGAAGCAGCTGATTGACCGACTCTCATTCTCCACAGTGCGAAGAGTGCTGTAGCACTTACTGGTGAGAGTGCCCACGCACAATCTACCACCCCACCAAGGTGTGGAAAGCGGTTGCGGCTTGACGCTGAACCTTGCTCGCACCAATAGACAATGGCTGGAAATTCTGTGTTTGTCACTTCTGCGCACGGAATCCTACATGAAGATACATGCAGTCTATCACCTTATCAATTCATTCTCTGCATCTTTGCACGCAATTCACATTCCTCAAATGCATATTACTTGGCATATCCCCCTTGTTCAAAAGCAAGGGGATGCAGCGCAACGGGTCGCATGAACTGGCTTCAAATTCAATCGACTGAGCTTTCTTCCTGTCTGCAACCTAGGCCGCTGTCAAGCGAAAGTGCATCTTGCCTAAAGAAGGGCAGACCGGAGCTTTGGAACTTTGCCTGAGAGTCAAGGATGTCAAGGGCATCCAAAAAGAATATTTGCATCATTACTATCATTACCTTCATCTCCATTGTTCCTTTTGAACACGGCAGCTCCAGTCGCGGTCGTTGAATCCGGACGTGGGGTCGCTCCCATCGCCAAGGTGAGATGTCAAGAACCACACAGATTCAGTGCTGCTCTTGGCGACGAGCAGTTCCGTAGGGGTGGTGATGAAACAACACCGTCTCTAACTGGATTCCGCAGGGGATTTCTACCAGTTCTGTGGGAGTCCTGTGCGGTTTTTGAAGTGTGAGGATGCGAAGGCGCCCTTGGCTAGCGGCTAGTTACATCCTTGAGGGGCTGAGAGAGGTTGAGAGGGGTTGAGAGGGGTTCACTGTTCTTTTTGCCACAACAGGCCCCCTTTCGAGAAACACTTGATTCTTCAACAAAAATCAGCCACCAAGTAAAGGGCCATATGAACTCTTGAGTCCCTCCCTACCCGCCCCTCTCTTTCAATGTTGCTGATTGGACTTCTGACGTGTGCTGACATGAATGGCTTTGTTTACTTTTTCGTTTTCTCAAGGCCGCTAAGACCGAACTTCATGCGACAACACTGCAGTTGGGGGATGTTGGGGGGTTGGAATGGTGACATGGAACAGCTCTTAGGATGACTTTTTTTATTACCCGGTATCACGCACATGATACAATTCAAGGCTTGTCGATCAAACATTTTTGTCTGAGGTCTCATCCTAAGCCTGCTGACGTACCGGAATCCTTATGCAGGTAAGATGGCAACAAGAAATAAGTCGGCATTTCGGGATGGGGTCGCCGGGCTACATGGTGAGTGACAAACCTCGGAAGGGCACCCTCTGAAAGCCAGGCTAGCATTGTGTGAAGGCAACATGTTTTTGTTCAAGAGAGAGAGAGAGAGAGAGGGAGCTGCTTTGCAAGATGGATGCACTTGGTTGTTCGTGCGTTTGCCTGTGCCAGGCTGTCTTTCAAGAACCCCATTATTTTCTCCTCGGTTGCATGGGCGTTGGCCAGTGCTGGCCAGACCCTCATGTGGCAGAGTGTCGGAACGAAAGCATGGGAAACTCTGTTGAGCACTGCTGACGATATCTGGGTTCACTGGCCTTCATGATCTGAGTGAGGCTACGCCATGTGGCAAGTTCCAGAGGTGTGGAATGGGAGATGATGGGAGTAGGAGAGCCTGGTGCCATGCTAATGTGTTCAAACGGGAGGCATCGCCTAGCGTTTTACGCCGGGATTGGCGTTCAAAGCTTGGAGTCAGCTTCGAGCTTTCGTTCAAAGTCATTTACGACCCGTTGCAGTGGGTGTTAGGAGTCAGGATTGCCATGCTTTGGATGATGCCGATCTCCTTGGAGATCAATCTCAGATCAGCAGCTCTGGTCACAGCTTTGCAGGCTCCTTTGACTAGCCCGCAATTACTTCGTGAGCAACTTCAGAAACAGCCTCAGCCAGAGGCACTTTGTTAGGTCCCGGAGAATTTCTGTCCAAGCAATTTCCGTACTACACAGACTGCACAGATTTGAACTTCCAGCAAATGTGCTAAAAGTGGCGCGTCACAAACTTTGATCATTCTGGCCTATTTCTTCTCAAGTTGGACTCTCCGACAGCTGCGTTTACTGCAGCATGTGGTTGATTGTATCATGCAAGTCTGAGGTTAGCTTTATTTTTTAATAAAGCAAGTTTATATAGTTGAAATGAAAGCCCCTTGTTTGCACTGCCAATCAGTGAAGAGACACCAAGGATTCGAATCCGAAACATTCCGGTACCAACCAGCAGCCCACGTTACCAGCAGTTCAAAGAGCCATGGCCTTAGTCTTTTCTTTTGAGCTGCATAAAGGATGGTGGTCATTGCGTGAGATTTGTAGCCACTCATGATTCTCCTCAAACAGCAATGGACAGCTTGTTTGTAGGGTGACCTTGACGTAGGTACATGCGATTTCTCCAAGGTACTACATGCGGGAACATGACATCCAGCTTCAAGAATACAAGGCCTCTCAGTGAAGAGTCGCTGCTTCGGTCAACATGTCATCCGCCGATGGAACACGGCGGCGCAAACCATCCGCGGGTGAAACGCTTGGTCAACCAAATGAGGAACACTGCCTCATGTTACCGCATCCATGTTGAAACGTCGATTGTTCCCATAAGCCAAACAAGAATGCAAGGCTTTGGGCAGGTTCGGGAGCTGAAAAGCCGGACGCCTTGAGTATAAGGACAGAGTTCTTGCACAACGTGTGTGTTTACAGCCACTGGGTCCAGATCCATTCTTCCTGTATCTACCAGACCGTTGGTGTGGAGGTTCTGGCAAAGCAACACAGCAACTCCACATCCTTCAATTGGCGTGCTATGCTTCATGGTTTGGGGGCAGGGAGCTCGGCGCTGGGAGTTGGAGGTTTGCAAAGACCAGTGACTTCAGTATTGCGAGAAACAAAGACGCAAAGCAGAACATCTTGGATGACAACATCGCTTTCTTCCAACATTTTGGTTGAGGAGCATGGCACATGAGAAATTCCTTTGTTACATGTCTCAGGTTGGCAGCATGGTGCTGGCAGCTGGCTTGGCAGTCCTGGAATATCATTGCGGCCTTCCTGGCTGAACTTGCGACAGTAAGAGGCTTTTCACGTGGATCATATGCCCACAGGAAGCAACATGCAGGATAATCTCGGACGAGGGTCAACTGAAGTGCATAAACAAGCAAAAGCTTTTCTTTGTACATACTTCCTTTCGCGAGAGATCATTTGCCTTGTCAAGCAAGATTCTTTATCCTGAGAGGATGGTGCTCTGCATGTCATGGTGCTCTCGTGACATGTCATGGACTTCTAACCGTGCAAAACCGGCCATTTTGGCAGCTGACCCACTGGATCCTGTCTGACGGTTCAGACAGTCAGTGGTAACGGGGTCAATGAATGGAACCAGGAGTCTATATTCTATTTTTTGACAGGACTGATCTCCTACTGGATGGAGGCCAGCAGTTCAAGCATTTAGCAAAACTTGTGAACGAAAGCATCTCAAGCTGAGTGTTTTGAGCTACCTGTGATGTGATTTCTGTATATTTCTGTGCTGCTCATTTTGTGGGACCTGTCACCGAAATCGCGCGATTTCGACACCACTGGTACCGGTGAAAAACACCGGTCTGCCCGCCACGCTGCTCGCGTACGCGCAGGTGGCCGAGGTCTTCTGGTGCGATGCCCAGCACCGCCGGGCCGTGCAACGTGCCGAGCGCCTGGAGTTGGCGGATCATCGAAAGGTGGAGCGCCTGCTGCAGGCGCCCTGCTGCGATGAGGGACCAGCGCAGGTGAGAAGAGAGACGCGTTTGGAGGGCGTGAGAGACGCGTTTTATTTTCAGTTCGGGGACCAGCGCAGGGAATGACACGTTGGACACGGTTGGACCACTCAGAAAGTTTGCACCACATTCCACCAGGGCTGCTACATTCTTCTGGAGGGTGGGTTTCATGCCCCTTCAAATGCCATTGGGTAGTTTGGAGCATGTGGGGATATCTAGGGGCTAGTTGGATCCTGCGTTCAGTGTTGGTGCAAAGCAGATGGCCACTGTGATGGAGCAAAATGAATACCTCTTACGGGTTTTGCAGAACAACATGATTTATGTGGAGGCAGTTCATGTAAATCCAATGATTTGCTTTAGGAGGAAGGACGCTACTAGGAGCAAAGGGCATCGCTACTAGAAGCAAGGACGCTACTAGGGGCTCCTGGCCTTACTACTAGGAGCAAGGACGC